ATACATAACACCATGGTTACAGCTAAATAAAACTTCAATACATAACACCATGGTTACAGCTAAATAAAACTTCAATACATAACACCATAGTTACAGCTAAATAAAACTTCAATACATAACACCATAGTTACAGCTAAATAAAACTTCAATACATAACACCATAGTTACAGCTAAATAAAACTTCAATACATAACACCATGGTTACAGCCAAATTTTTAATCAAGAGACAGAAAATCTCACTCGCCTAATATGAAAATATGGCAACTGGAATTAACTATTAATTAGTAAAAATTGTAACAGTATCACAAACATTCATACTGACATGTGGACCTGGATGACGAGCAAACGTGTAATGTTTAAAAACATTCAATTAGATAGATTTGGTATCCCAATAAAGATTAAGAGTGTTCAGCTGCTGTTCGAGAATTACATTTCCACTGTTGACACTTTTACTATAGTTTTCTTTAATGTTACAGATATGATGTACCTATTTCAGCGAGAATTTTTTAAATTTTATTATCTATATAGCAGTTTTAACTCCTCCAATCTAGTGGTCTTTAGTTGATTATTAATTTCAAGGGTAATGCTGGTAGTGCAAGAACTATTCTGTTTATAAACAGTATTTAAATTATTTATTTATGTCCCTTTTTTTTTTAAAGTGGTAAACATTACTCCAAGTTGTTTACATCAATATCACAGGCATGAAAATACAAATAGCTCCTACTGTGAAAGTGTGAGAAGTCACTGTGTCGATGCATTCAAATTTATTTTAAAGGACAAAAATTGAACCCTCAAAACCAAACATGATGTTTTTATACAGTTCACGGCCAAAAATATGCAACAGACTAGAGTACACAAGTCAAACAACTTTTTCTCAGACATTTTTTTTTATGTTGGTTCCACAATGGAGCAGTGGTTACTAAAGCATCTCATAACATACCTACCTCTCTGAAAGATCTCTCAAGAAGATGTCTGTCAGTTGTCTTAAATGCTTCTTTTATAGCAGTTGGTGTGTTTGAAAGAAAAGCAGGGTGTTGAACTATTTCCCAGTGTAGGTGAGCAGCGGAATAGCTGGCAGCTTCCATTCCCGCATGGCCATCAAATACAGCATAATAGCTGTGATGAGGAAGGTTCTGACAAGATAGAGAAAATTAAATACTGGCTCAGCTTTTGAAAGAGGAAATTGAACTCATAAAAATTAAAAAAGATTTACTTGCTCTCAAAATGCAATACTACATACAAGCATAACTAAAAACCTTTTAAAAGTCTACAGCACAACTTCATAAGCATTAAAAATAAACTAGTTACATGTATCTTTCTTCATTAAAGTTCTACTCTTTAAACATTAATGTTGCAAGCTCTTTTAAGATGAAAAACTTTATTTGCACGTGGTTTTTCTATATTATGCAAAGCACGTCATTACTCAATCAACTTTTTTCTCAAGTTTCGATCTCCCTAAGAAGTCCTAATATGACAGAAAATTGACTAAAAACCCTATTGTTCTCGTCTTGTATCCCTTCTTCAATTTAGATAAATGAGAAAAGTATTTTAAAAGTTAACACTGATAAATATTGGTAATTACTGATAAATATTGGTAATTACTGATAAATATTGGTAATTACTGATAAATATTGGTAATTACTGATAATTCTTTGTCAAGATTTACCTTTACATGGAACACACAACTGGATCAAAAACAAAATGTAGGTAAGAAAATTGCTAACTTACAATTAAGAATTACCTCTGTTTTGCTGGAAAACTTGTATTATGACTTAAAGAATGCTTACTACAGTTAAACTGAAGAGGAAGAAAGAAAGAAAAGAGAAGAATTGTATGTTTTTTTAATGTAAACTGTAAAGGAAAAAAAAAATCCTTCAACTACATCATTGCAATGAACAATTTCACAGGGTACAGTGCACACCAAAATATTATTAAATAATAAATACACATTGTGTACAATATTTCACACCTGGAGACAACAGGCTACATTCAGATCATGAAGTACTACATGACGATCCTCCATTTTTCTGCGAGTGTTTTTGATGGCACAGATAGAAACCTCATGAACTGGAGGACGAGGCCAAATCGAAGTACTAGCCATCTCTCGATAACGGTCTTTCCAGTACTGAATCAGCTCGTTCAAAAAGTTGATAACTTGAGAGTGAAGCTGAACAGCATCAATTACTTCAGAAAAATAAAAAAAATTCCAAAAACTGTTATTCTGAAATTGGAAACTCCAGGTCTGCAGACTTCATAATTTTAAAGAAAATTTAAAATTATTTTATTAAATACAATTGTTTAGGCATAATCAGAGCCCTAATAAAGCCAGTGATGTTAATTTTCACCTGAAAATATTCAACCCCCCCCCCTAAACTGAAGCAATCCAAAGAACTGCATTATAAATGTATCACTAAAAGGTCCAGCTGTTCAGTCACTAATGCACTGAATTGAATCTGACTGTTATGCATCTCCCTCATTTCAAATTTCATTTAATTAGTGAATTATGTGTTCTGCTACTGAATACAACACTTCACAGAAAACTATAAAATGTAGCAATTACATCATACCTTCCATTCTCAATCAGATATGTATGTCATATGATTAACATCAAGCAACCAATGCCAAATGTTCCTTCTTTTCACCAAGGAATAAAAACCGTTTATCGACAATAAAATTATTTAAATCAAATGACGTGCTTCTCACTAAATTGCTTTTTATAAAAATCTTACCCAGCAGGGATTTATTCTCTAAAGAAAGTACCGCATCATTAGCCGTTGACTTCGTGCGTGTCTTTTATAAAGTATCAAATCTAAATTAAACTTTAAAATGGTTGAGAGTTCCTAATAATAAACAAATATTAATTAAGATGTATATCTTTGAATTAATTTGAAATAGTGAGAAATCATAATGACAATATTTCAATAACTTGGAAAGTTGAAATAATTGAAAATATCAAAAATAATGATGAATAATAATTTTGTTTAATTGCAATCAAAATCATGGTTAAATCAATTATTTTTATGTGAAATTAAATGACGTAATCAATGCTCAATTATATCGATGAAATGAGTTCACTGTCTGGCTCTATTTGAGACTGGAAATTTCAGGAATAATATTTACAGTGTAAATGTTTAAAACATGCATCATAGTTCTCTCCAAAGACCAAACATGAGTTTACAACATATTTATCTCTGTAAGTGCTATTTTTTGTTTTTCCAAATACAGCAAGCTCACAAGTAGTTAATACATGCTTGCAATGTATAGCTTTATAATTTGTATATCACACATTATATATGGTCTAACTGAAAACTTAAAAGTACAAGGAGTTGGCATCAACATACAGAATGTAAAAAATTCAAACTATTAAACAATTTTCAAAATGGAAAAATACATCCAAATAAAGTTTGTTTTTATTACAGAACGTCATATGTATTCAGTTAGTATCACGTTACACACATCCAAACAGTTTGTTTTTATTACAGAACGTCATACGTATTCACAGTGAGTATCACGTTACACACATCCAAACAGAGTTTGTTTTTATTACAGAACGTCATACGTATTCACAGTGAGTATCACGTTACACACATCCAAATAGTTTGATATGTTTTTATTACAGAACGTCATACGTATTCACAGTTAGTATCACGTTACACACATCCAAATAGTTTGATATGTTTTTATTACAGAACGTCATACGTATTCACAGTTAGTATCACGTTACACACATCCA